TGGCCATCGGCAAGGGCCGCCGGGGACCGTGCGAGGAGCCTCCCGGGAGCCCGGCCTGCGACCCCGCGGCCCCCGCGGCCCGGCCGGGACCCTGTGCCTGCGAGTGAGCGGAGGGATGGAGGGGCGGGGCCCAAGCCCTATGGTGCCTGTGCTGGTGACTCTGTCCTGTGGGGCCTGAGCCCTGCGGTGACAGTACCTTGCAGTACCCTCTGCCTGCAGGGCCACTGTGCCCCAGGGAGTCATCTGTGCCCCACAGAGTAACAGTACCCTGCAAAACTACCTGCACCCTGCAGCTGTCTCTGTCCTGTGGACTGAACCCCGTCTTGTGGAGTGACCAGTGCCCTGCAGAGTGAGCATACTCTGGAATGAGCAGGCCTCTCAGTGACTCTGTGCCCTGGGGAGCAGCCTGTGCCTCACAGAAAGATGGCTGGGATGTCTGCACCTGGAGGAGGATGGAGCCCCAGGCCAAGTTTCTGGGGTTTGAGGTGGTGCTGGGGAAGCTGATGGCCTTGATCTCTGCCAGTTCTGTGAGGTCTCTGCTGGCCCAGGATGGCCCTGACCCTCTCCAAGCACACCCTTCTAGTACATTTTCTGTTTGCCCAAATTAGGTAAACAAAGTCACATGATGAAATGAGTACTTATTCACAGCACCACAAGACTCCCTCTCATCAGGGTAAAACAGCTTCTGAGGGAATCAGATCCTTTCTTCCGAGTCAGGTAGAAGTGACCATGGCTGGGAAACATGGATTCAGGTCCCCCCAGCAACAGCTTAAGCTGTTACATAAACTCCTAGGAACAATAGGAAGTCCTAAATCAAGCCATCTCCAAATAGGGTTGGTGGGAGCATCAGGTGGGTGGTTACAGCCGGGTGGGAACCCCTGCTGTGGGTCTCAGGGACTCTTATGACTTTCTTAGCCGTTCGGGTTGCTGGAAACCAGTGACTGTTTAGGGGCAACATATTCCCAAGGATGTTAGGACAGATGTGGAGGTAGTGAGCAACAACTATTAAAGGGACTAAGGAAACTCAAGATGGGCTGGAGAGATGGCTCAGTGGTTAAGGGCACTGCCTATTACGGAGGACCCAGGTTCAATTCCCAGTACCCACATGGTGGTTCATAACTACCTGGTCCAGTTCCAGAGGATCTGACACTGTCTCCTGGCCTCTGAGTGTACTGCATACACGTGAGGCACTTACATACATGCAGATAAAACATTCATGCACAAAATAAAGTCTTTTTGTAAAAGTTGGCTCAAGGAACTGGAGAGATGGCTCAATGGTTAAGAGCACTGGCTGCTTTTCCAGGGGACCTACCTGGGTTCGATTTCCAGCACCCACATGGCAGCTAACAACCTCCTTGTAACTCTGATTCCAGGGGAATCCAGCACCTGTTCTGACCTCTGTGGGCACTCCATGACATGGGTGCATTTACAGGCAGATAATACCTTCATACACTAAAATAAAATGTTTAATAAAATAAAAAGTTGAGTCAAGATCATTTTGCCTCTAACATTACGCCTCCCACGACGGGAAGTTCTAATCGCTCCATCATTTACAGCTTCAGTTCACACTTTGTGGCCCTTACAGGCCCCTCTTATTTCATCCTGGTGGTGACCTCATTTGCTGTAAGGGGTCACAAGGCACTCACCTCGAAGGGACCACAAAGACTCTTACCTCCCCATCCGTGAAAGGGGGACCACCTTGTCCAGTTCTAGTGTCTTGTGGGTGAGGAGGGCACCCAAGCTTGGACTTGAGACAAAGCTCATGCAGGGTCCCCGCCTCCGCCTCTCTAATCTGCTATTTCCTCCTGTGAAAATGGAACTTGCCCGCCTGGGCCCCCATCAGACCTCTGTGGGGACCCAGTGTTCAAGGTTCTCAGCCAACGGTGGTCAACTTGACTGTTCATACTAAGCATCTGCCACCAGGGGGCTCTAGATTTGTTTTTGCTGCCTTGTACAAGAAGTGGAGAGGCTGGGGAAACTTCCAGGAGAGGCTTGATGTTGGTAACGGGCGGTCAAGAATGTACTGTTTCTCAGGGACCTGGAAGCCTTCCCTGATTCTCCCAGTCTTTGGGCAGACGGTACTCCTTGACCTGTTTGTGATCTTGCCCTCACAGGCCAACTCTCTAGGTCTTCTTTTTCCTAATTAGACAGGCCTGGAGGGCAGGAACTTTGCCTCCCTCAGGTTCCCATGGGACAATTGAGCCCCGAGTTAATTATTCATTCAGTAAATACTCATTGAGAATCCTTGTCTGACCCTCCTCCAGGTGCCAGGAGTCTGGGGTGAGCAGAGGCTGGAGCCCCTGCCTTTGGGACATTCACTGGGAGAAAAGGACAAATGCAATCTATCTATAGATAGAGATTGAGAGAGAGGTACTTGTGACTGTCACTTTTTTTCAATGCTAGGCAAGCACTCTACCTGGTGAGCCACACCCCAGCCCCTCACCAGGTTGTCTAGGCAGGGACTCCACCCGTGAGCCACACCCCAGCCCCTCCCTGGGGATTCTAGGCAGGTGCTCCACCCCTGAGCCACACCCCAGCCCCTCACTGGGGGATCCTAGGCAGGGGCTCCACCACTGAGCCACACCCCAGCCCCTCCCTGGGGGACTCTAGGCAGGTGCTCCACCACTGAGCCACACCCCAGCCCCTCACTGGGGGAGTCTAGGCAGGGGCTCTACCACTGAGCCACACCCCAGCCCCTCACTGGGGGATCCTAGCCAGGGGCTACCACTGAGCTACACCCCAGCCCCTCACTGGTGGATCCTAGCCAGGGCCTCTACCACTGAGCTACACCCCAGCCCCTCACTGGGGGACTCTAGGCAGGGGCTCTACCACTGAGCCACACCCCCAACCTCTCCTTATTGAAGTTTAGGCAGTTGCTCTGTGAGTTACATCCCCAGCGCAGAGGTTTTTTAATTTGCTTCTGTCTTAGGGTTAACGGGAAGGAAGGTTCCTGGGCAGGTGGTCTTTGAGCAGCGGCCACAGAGAGCAGAGGACAAATCCTTATTGTAGAAGCACTGCCCCCTGGCGGAGGGAGCCGGTAGCCGGGAGCTGAGAATAAACTTGGCCGGCCAGGGATCTACCTGTGCAGGGTCTGAACTGGGTCTGGGCCAGACTGTGGAGGTGAATGCTTGGATTTTATTCTAGCAGTGACTGCAGGTCTCCGAGGTCTTCCGTTCCGGGAGCCCAGCCAATTTCCACTTTCTAAGCATCCTTCCAGCTGCTGCAGAGAGAAGCGACAGGAGGCAGAGCAGGCGCTGAACACCCTCCAGGCCGGCTGCAGGACGGTGCCTGTGGGCTGGCCCCCTGACAAGCTGCCATTCCTTAGTATGCTTAGGACTGATTTTATGATAGACCTGCAACCCAGAGCGTCACATAGCAGTGAACTGGGAGGGATCTGGGACTCTTGGTCCTTTCTCTCTACCCCTAGCTGGGACCCTGGGGACCCTAGTTCTGGTTGCAGACACAGCAGAGCGCCCCTTATTTCCTGAGCACCCCTCATGTTCTTGACAGAACTCTCTTCACCAGGCCTCTGAAGGCCTGAGAAAGGTGCTGTTCTCGGATATGGCCACAAGGAGGTGCCGTGACCACGTCCGTGCCCCAGGTGGCTAAGCTGGGTCTCCATTCTTGGTTCATCCTTGGCACACACAGCGGCCATCCCCCCGCTCCCGCCCCCACCCCCAGCCCCATCTTTAAAGCAGGACCTGGGCAAGAGACAGTGGACAGCTGAGTGGAAATGGAGACTTTTGGCACAAAGACACCTGTGTTCCTGTGTTCGCTGACCGAGCATTGAACAGTGACCCAGAGAAAAACAGAAGCCAGCTCTTGGGACAGAAGGGAGGGTGGGGCTGAGAGAAAGAGTGGGAGGGAGGAAGGAAAAGAGACAGGAAGAGAAGGGGAAAGAGGGAAGGAGAAGGGAGGGAGGGAGAGGAAAAGGCACTCATCCAAGGGTTGAACTCTTGAGTCTGGAGGACAGGCCAGGGAGGCAGAGGACTGGAGAGAGATAAGCATCATTCTTGCAGACATTTCCTGACACCTCCCAGAGTCAGGCCCAGCCTTGGACAGTGGGGAGACAACTGAGCCAGCTCTGGTCCCTGCCCTCAGTGGGCTCCCTGTCTGGTAGGGGCAAGGATGCTGGTGAGTCTAGGCCAGAGGGTTATGTGCCACTGCAAGGGTTCAGGAGGACACATGGTGGGGGGTAGCTCAGAGGTGGGGCACCCAGCTCAGTATGCTGTCACAGAATGCAGAGGTACTGTTTAAACCAGAACCCAGGAGCTGAGTAAGACTGAGTCTGGAAAAAGATAGAAGATGGGTAAGGTACCTACCTGGTAGAGAGACTGGGCATAAACCAGGAAGCAGCTGTCCCTGTGGAGAACTGCGGATCCTAATATTGGATGCAGAAGGTTGCCCTAGATGGACGTTCCACTCGGGGGAGATGGGGCTTCCCAGCAAGGGCTCAGAGCAGACAGGCCGGGGATGTGGATCAGTGGGTAGAGAAGTTTCCTGGGATGCATGAAGCCCTGGGTTCTACCCCCAGTAGTGCATAAACTGGGCTTGGTGGTGCACACCTGTCACCCCAGCACTCAGGAAGTAGAGGTAAGAGGGTCAGGAGTTCAAAGTCATCCTTAGCTACATGGTGAGCTGGAGGCCAGCCTGGGTTATGAGACCCTGTCTCAGAACAAAATAAAACAAAAATTTCTCTGGGGGAGGCCAGGGGTCCAGGAGCTGGACCAGGTAGTGTTGAGGGTTAGGGTCTCAAAGGTGGGGAGCAGTTGTAAGGGCTTTGGGAACTGTTCAGCGAGAGTTGCAGATACTGCACTGGGCTGTGTTCTGGAAGCTTTAAAAAACTGTGTGAACTCAAAGATGGTATAGATGTGGTGGGGAGATGGCTAGTGGTTAAGAGTGCTCATTCCCCAAATTCAGTTCCCAGAATCCACTTCAGGTGTTTCACAACCCCCTGTAACTCCAGCTCCAGGGCCCCAACACCCTCTTCTGGCCTCCACGGGCATCTGCATTCACGTGCACATACCCACATGGAGACACACCTGTTGGGGACCCCTGCTGTGTTAGGTCAAAGTCTCTCCATGTCCGGATAGCCCAAGGGGCTCGG